AAGCTAAAGAGCCCTAAACGCTTTAACCTTTCCTCATAGGGAAAGTGTTCCAACCCTTTTATCATTCGAGTTGCCCTTTTCTGCACTTTTTCCAAAGCTATATTATCCTTTTTAAGGTGTGGTGACCAGAACTGCACACAGTATTCCAAATGAGGTCTCATCATTGATTTATATAGGGGCATTATGATATTGGCTGATCTGTTTTCAATGCCCTTCCTAATAATCCCCAGCATAGCATTGGCCTTCTTTATTGCAGTCACACACTGTCTCGACATTTTCAGTGAGTTATCTACTACAACTCCAAGATCTCTCTCTTGATCAGTCTCTGCCAGTTCAGGCCCCATCAATGTGTATTTATATTTAGGATTTTTGGCTCCAATGTGCATCACCTTGCACTTGGCCACATTGAACCCCATTTGCCATGTTGACGCCCACTTGCCCATCCTTGACAGATCCCTTTGGAGTGCCTCACAATCCTCACTGGTTTTCACCACCCTGAACAACTTCGTATCATCCGCAAATTTAGCCACTTCACTGCTTACTCCCAACTCCAAATCATTAATGAACAAGTTAAAAAGCAGTGGACCAAGTACTGATCCCTGCGGTACCCCACTGCTTACCACCCTCCACTGAGAAAATTGCCCATTTATACTCACTCTCTGTTTTCTATTAATTAGCCAGTTTTTGATCCATAAAAGGACTTGTCCTTCTATCCCATGATTTTTGAGCTTACTTAGGAGCCTTTGATGAGGAACTTTATCAAAAGCTTTCTGGAAGTCAAGGTAAACAATATCTATTGGATCCCCCTTGTCCACATGTTTTATATGATTGTGTGCTACATGGGACTCCCAACGAGCCCCCACACAAAGACCCTGGAGATGCGCGCCCCATCCCCAGAGGGATGCATCTGTAGTCAGTGTTAGTGTTGACGTGGGTGGATGGAATGGGGCTCCCGCTAGGAGATTCACAGGATCTGTCCACCAAAGCAGAGAGCCCAAAACGGATGGTGGGAAGACAAGATGAAGGGATTGAGGATGACTCTGTGGTCGAAACCTGCGTACGAACCATAGCTGCAGAGGTCTCATGTGCAGTCTGGCAAAAACTATGACGTTGATGGTGGCAACCATCAGACCCAGCAGCCGCTGGATTCGCTTTGCCACAGCCTGTCCAGATTTGCGGAATAGAGTCACTAGATCTACAATGTCCCTTGCTCTCTGAGGAGGGAGGAAAGCCTTGCAAACGACAGAGTCTAGGATAGCTCCTATAAGCTGTACACGTTTTGCAGGAAGTAGCACTGACTTCTTCAGATTTACATGGATGCCTAAGGACACCAGAACTGTCAGGGTTAGGTTTACATTGGTGAGCAGGGATGCTTCTGAATCCACTACCAGCAACCAATCGTCTATATAGGGAAATATCTGCATTCCTCTTAGACGGAGATGTGCCACCACTGCCACCATAACCTTCGTGAAGACCCGAGGGACCATGGATAATCCGAACAGGAGGGTTTTTAATTGGAAATGTCTGTTGCCTACTGCAAACCGGAGGAAATGACAGTGGGAAGGGTGGATGGAAACGTGGAAGTAAGCACCCTTGAGATCCAGCGTAACCATCCACGTCTCCGGGTCTAGGAGCGGAAGGATGGCCTGCAACGCTGTCATCCTGAACTTTTTGTATAGGATGAAAGCGTTCAGGTTCTTGAGGTCCAAAATGGGTCGGTGGCCTCCATCCCATTTTGGTACCGTAAAGTAACGGGAGTAGAAGCCCATTATGTGCTGTGCTGATGGTACCGGCTCTATGGCATCCTTGCTTAGGAGTTTGCACCTCTTCTAGAAGGACTGCGGAAGGTGGCGTGACGACAACATGGGAGGAGGAAGGGATTTGGGAAAACTCCCATTTTTATTATCGAGAGGACCCATTGGCCCGACGTAATGGACTCCCATATTGACAGGTAAGGAGACAACCTTGTAGGGAGTCGGGAGGGAAGGTGTGAGTCAAAGACTCTGTTTAGTGTTCTTAGCAGTTTTGAGAGGTTTAGATGAAAACTTGGATTTAGGATGCCCCCAAGCCAACATGAAACAGTTGCTTCCTGTTTTATTTTTGGCTTGAGTACATCCAGATGCACACCCCTAATGGCTTTATCAAAGTCAGTATTGTCTCCTCTGAGTGGCAGCAGGCCCTCTGGCCAAGGCAAGGCCTTTCACATCACCCACTACACCTGAGCATTTTTGTTAAGGAGAGGCTGGGGACTGAGCCTGTGACATTCTGCATGAAAATCACACCAACTCTGCATTATCCAGCAACATGACACTAAAAAATGTCCACTGCCAAACCACAGGGTTTCCTTCTAAGTATTATCTGTCCTGCTAAGTATAAAGTCATATAGGCATTCACAAAAAATCAGAGCTGCTGAACAGCATTGAAAAGGAGAAGAACGATGCCATTTACTTTTAATCGCTTCTCCTACGATGGGTCAACAAACGTAAGCCTTTTTGCAGTTACAAGAAACTGGGATCTGTAATTCTGCCATTGCATGAGTGTCTGTCATGATCCTGGGCCTCGGGCCAAGCAGCGGCCATTACAGACCTTGAGATAGCCACAGACCAAATTGTACAGTAGGCCTACAGTTGCTAGGCATCTTCCAAGCTTCGTCCCCAGCACCGCGAATGGGTGGAAGAAGGGGATATTCGGGCCCCTTACCTGATCCGTAGTTTCCACAGAAGGTTCCCGGACAAACCGGGAGGTCTCCCGCCTCATTCCCTGAAGCTGAGCAGCAGTGAGGGGGTCTGTGGAGGGAGTGGATCCCTTGCCAGGCAGCAGGAGTCTGGCCTAGTTGGTATTAAAACAGTAGGGAATAAGTCAGGGAGCTTTGTTGCTTTCTGGCCTGCTTCTTTGTCAGTTTTGCCCTGTATTAATTCTGCCCCATTTTTATAGCTTTTCTCCTATTTGCTTACTTGTTAAAGTACTTAATATACTGCTTGTTGGTAACTCTGCCCAGGTTCTTCATGCCCTGAATTTGGCCACGGATCAGAAAGTGCTTTGACTAAAGAAGGGGTTGTCAGGGAAGAGGGGCAGGGAGAGTTCTCTGGGCCCTCTCTAGCAATGCCCAAGACCAGGCTGGTGGCCACCCGTTAAGGCCCTTGCCTGCTGCAGGCCTGAAGGGGCAGGAGGGAAGGAGGGTGTATGTGGGAAGAAGAGATTCCTGGAAGGGACATCCCATCTGTGGCAAACCTGTACGACCCTGCAGCCCTGTACGCATGACAGTATCTCATATCCAATTTACATCTTAGAATTTCAACCGCTGTACTAGATCAGTATCCAGAATGGGTAAGTACTCCAAGCATCCACGAACACTCCCTTGCAAAGGGAAGTCTTCCTCTCCTAAAAGGAAATATATAATGCATTTAACAATCAGATAGTTATTCAAGAAATAATGGCCTGCATGCAATTTTGTGTACACCGAAGACGGGCAGACTGTTCCTGCATTCCAGCCTCCAAAGCCCCTGAGAATAGCCACAAAAGTCGGGGCAGTGTAACAAGGAGAGGTATGATGGCCTCCACCCTCCTCTCTAAAGCTGCACATGAAGCAGCCATTTCACGCCCTTTCCACTCCTTGCAGTGCCCTGGTCCATACAGCCATTTATCTGGATGGGTCCCAGAACCCCAGATTTGCTCATTTAGGGGATTTATGTGCAATCTGTGTGGAGAGCTGCTGGGGGCAGTTTGAGTAAAAACAAGGCCATAAACCATAAATTATCAACATTTAAAACAAACCACAGGCATAAAAAGCAGCATATAACAGGAGTTCCTAGGGGTCACATGGGGTTGCTGGAGAGGAATGTGGGGAAGCTCCATGCACCTTCTATGTATGTGTGGTTGGACACAGGCTAGCAAAAAGAGTTGAACAAGGGGACAGCAATGACATGAGGATGAGGCACAGGGTTCACGGTACAACTCTCATGTGAGAAAGCGTTTTTTAAAATCCATCAAGCCTCAGTTTTGGCATTCATGATACTAAATGACAGGAAGCAACTATGAGCAAGGTTTGTTTACAGTCTTTATTAGCTAATCAACATCAACATGCAAAAATAAATGCTAAATACAAACTCCTACTGTATGATTTTAATTACAATGGTTTTGTTTGGAGAGTGATATGGGTGTGATTTATAGCTGTTAGAATTGAACTAATCTCTTCTGTAATGAACACCCTAAAATTACATAATTATCCTGCAAGCCATCTTCAAAAACTTGCCAAACATTTAAGGTTGATTTTTTAAAATGTGAGTACATTCTCAAAGCAAGAAATAAGGCAGTAGCACTAATGGTTTGATATTGAATCCTATGCATGTAGTAACTAATAAGGACTTTTAACACTATGGTAAACTGGTAAACTGGGAAATGGACATACAAGCAGTGCATGATGCCTGTATTGTTCTCAGTTGTATCTGTATTTATGCAATCCTTCTGCGATGCTTCATCGGGCCGGGGGGGGGGGGGTTTCTGGAAAGGGGACTGGGAGAAGAAATGCTTCTATCCCCCCTTCAGAGAAATCTCTAATTCTTCTGGTGAAGTCGGCCTTGTGTCAATTCTGTCAGCATCTGTTCCATGAAGAGCTACTATGGCATACAGAAACGTTTAAAAAGTGGAGAGGAAGATCAAAAACGAAAGCTTCTTTGCCAACAGTGAACAGAGAAATGAAGCACATCAAGGCCAACTTCACACTGCCCACATGGCAGACGTGTTTCCAGTTTGCATCCTGTGGGGCGACCACCGCCACTTCTTAAGGGGACTTCAGCACACCTGGAGCCACAAGGTGGGCACACAGTCAGAGGCTGCGGCTGGCTGCAACTCCCTGGTATGGACACACCCCACATATTTGCACATTTAGCCTCTTTAAATATTAGCTTCCCCGACAGGGGCACACAGTGGAGACGCTGAAAACATGACCCTTTGGGGATCCCACCGCAATTTTCTCTCTCAAGTGATATGGTCCGTTTTTTAAGTAAGCTTCTTTTGCTGGATGAGTGTGAGAGAAAAATCCAATTACTGTTACAAAATCCAAGCATTCAAAATTTGTTCCCTCCAAAGTACAAACTGTTAGCCATACCTCCTCACGTTTAGAGTGTATATTGTTGCTTATTGATCTTTGGTCGCAATAAAAAATGCCACCAACAAATCCGACCCTCCCCCCCACAAGATGGCAGGTCTCTTTGCCACACACACAAGATCTTGCTTTAAGGACATGCCGGAATATACTGTGTCAAATTCCAGCGGCACTTTGTACAAGGGAGTTACATAATGTAGACTTTCTCAGCTTGTGAGAAGTTGAAGACCTCTTTGGTTCTTGGGCAAATTACTTTGTCATCTTGACGAACAGAAAGCAAAGACTGAAAAAAAGAAAACAAGAATCAAGACAGTTTAAGACTGAAGTACTGATCATTCAACCATCTTGCACCTTCTGTAATCTTAACCCCAATGGGTGTCGAGGCCAGCCCTTCAGATTGCTCTGTGGCACAAAACACCTTTAATAAAATCTGGTTGGGCCCCTAGACATTCAGGGTAAATTACTGTAATGCAGTGTACATCTGGCAGCCCTTGAAGACCTGTTCCAAAATGTCAGTCAGTCTAGAATGTATGGAACAGACTGTTAACTGGAATGCATTTTACCAATAGAGAGAGATTCATTAGACTCCAGCTGTTTTCTAAGCATATTTAAGGGCTGGCATTGACCAAAGACTTGGAACAGAAGTACTTTAAGGACCTTCTCCAATATAAGCCGCCTCCTCATCTTAAAAGCTACTCTAGAGGGTCTCATCCAGGTGTTCGCACTTTCAGACACTTGGTGGGTGGCAATCAGGTGAGCCCTCTGCAGGTGGAACACCATCCCCAGGCAGTCACGCTGCATCAAGAACCCTGAAGCAGCAAACTAAAACTTATGCTCTGAAGCATTTAATAACTGAGATCTCTTTTCCTTCTGCTGCTGGCATGTTCCTATTTATCGTTTACAGTTCTTTTTATTATACAGTAACTGAGATATTAGGGTTCCATTGTAAGCGGCCTTGAAAAACTGGTCAGTGAATGGCAAGATATAAACAGCTTTAAATAAAACAAATGAATTACAGAATATCAAGGACTGGAAGGGATCTCCTAAGCCAGTGGTGGCGAACCTATGGCACGGGTGCCAGAGGTGGCACTCAGAGCCCTCTCTGTGGGCTCGTGTGCCATCGCCCCAGACCATCATTAAAGTGTCGAATTCTCTGCCAAATAATTTTAAGTAAATGAAAGCATTTGGGATTGCTCTCCTCACTTTGTTTGGATCATCTTAAGTTAATGTATGAGTTGTTTTTTCTAAAGTAAAACCGCAGTGTTCAGGTTAAATTGACGTGTTGGCACTTTGCAATAAATAAGTGGGTTCTGGGTCGCAGTTTGGGCATTCGGTCTCTAAAAGGTTCGCCATCACTGTCCTAAGCCATTAAAGACAAACCCACTTTATGCCAAAAGCATTGTGGCCAATATCTGTACACCTTTTTTAAATCATACTAAGATCTTTGCACAATTTCAGTGAAGTTTTAACTTTTGAGAGTTCCACTTTGACTGTCTTTAATTCTTCTGTTGCAACCCTCAGTGTGTTATGATGACCAGAAAGAAAACAGCTGCAATCTGCCCTGTTCACTGAAAGTCTGTGGTACCCTCGCTGGCCCCAACTGAAAGTCAAATCACATCAGTACAGTTATCTACACAAGTCTGGGTTTTCTAGGCTAAAAATAAGAACATAAGAGGAGCCAATGTCGGATCAGGCCAATGGCCCATCCAGTCCAACACTCTGTGTCACACAGTGGCCAAAAATGCCAGGTGCCATCAGGAGGTCCAGCAGTGGGGCCAGGACACTAGAAGCCCTCCCACTGCCCCCCCCCGAAGCACCAAGAATACAGAGCATCACTTGCCCCAGACCAAGAGATCCTATCTATACCTTGTGGCTAATAGCTTCTGCATGCTGGTCCTCTGGAAAAGCCAGTAAGATGAAGCCCCGCTGTTATGAAGCTGTAATTCAATGCAGAGGGGCACGGAAAGACAGCAGCTTGGGAAGGTAACTGGGAGAGGATAGCCAGCCTGCTGTAGTCACAGAACTGATACTTTTTCAACCAGTACACCAAGGTAAGTAAAAAATCCAGCCTTAACACCCACACAAGTTTCTTCGTGAGGCTCATTTTATTAGAATATTAATAAAACTGCCCTTCCACCCCAAAAATCCTCAAATAAATAAAGCAAGGTTTTCCTCCAAAGAAAATTTACTACCACTGCCCATTTTAAGAAGCCTCGTCTAGCTTCTAAGGGAAGAACTTACATTGTATCCGTACACATATCCATTTGGAAGCATCATGGGAGGATTGTTTTCATTCATCACATCTCCTGAAATCTTGCAGACTAGTCGGGAGTTGGCACAGTGTGCCATTGGCAGAGGCTGAGCCAGCTTATTCAGGGATTTGCTACACACAGGGCAGTCGGGGTTTTTTGAACTGCCGTCTTCTTTATAACATTGTCTATTGAAATGCCAGTCAAAGGACAACATTTATATGATTAAACATTTCAAGTATGCAGAGCTTGGCTATCATAACGGTTCTCAAATGCAGAGACAGACTCTGCAGCAGCAC